AGTGGAGATGCCCTCACATCACTAAACTCTACTGTCAAAATCAGAATTAGAAGAGGCAATATTAAACTTTCGGTCATCGTCCTCATTTAAATTAGAGAACCAAATCTGCAAGCTATAACCCCACATCACCTAGCAAACTTCCGGCTTACTTCCGCGCCTTTAAATGAACAATTAACCCATTTTTAAACCAGTTCCATAATCACGGGTTAATTAGGCGTTGCACTGCTGAAAGTCGGTCAATAATTAAAGTGACGATTAAAAAAAATCTCCTCCCACTTACGCAAAGTTACAAAGGAAAATGTGTCAGCTGAATTTTCTTTTTAACTAAGTGAGAAAGAAATTGGTAAAAATCAATCATGCTCGTTTCTTGGGAAACGGTAAACTGCTTATTTTTGCAACATCAAAAGAACAACAAGATAAAATCTTAAAGAAAACTACTATGAATGGACAAAAGATAACCTCACATATACCAGGCTCTGCATCAAAATCTAGAGTGATATCAGGTGTTCCAACTTCAGTTAGTGTTGAAGAAATAAAGAAAAACTTGAAGGGTGCCAATCTAGTGGATGCAAAAAGACTAACTAAAGGGCAAGAAAAAGTTGAAAGCTTGTCGGTCCTATTGTTGTTTAAACAAGAAATGCCCTCTAAAGTGCAGCTGGGTTATACGAGTTATCAAGTGAGAGAATTCATCCCACCTAAGCGCTAAGGTGCTTTAAATGCCAAAGATTTGGTCATGTTGCAACACAATGTAGGGGTAAGATTAGATGTGCTAAATGTGGAGAGGAACATGAGTATGGCAAATGTGCTAGTAAGATGGAGTTAAAATGCTGTAATTGTGGAGGTCAACATAGCGCAACATATGGTGGGTGTGAAAAACGAAAGGAAGCAAGAGAAGTACAGAAATATAAGATCATGCATCAGGTATCATACTCGGAGGCAGTTAAAAAGTAGTAAAGGAAAAATGCAATGGTCCTGTACATGTAACAGAGCAGAATATTAGGAGGAATCCTAGTAAGAATACTGGATCTTCAGACAGAGAAAATGATAGACATAGAAGGGAACAACAACAACAGACAAATGAATACCAAAAAGATAAAAGAATATCATAAGAAACATTGTTGGTAAACACAAATATCTTTGTTGCATTTATTTGCACCATTGTTAATGTTACTATGCAGCATCCAAAGAAAAGTAACAAAATTAAATCAGTTGTTGTAGAAGTGGCTAATAATTTTCTGTGTTTGTTTATGTTTAGTTTGTGCTAAACATAAACTATGAAGGAACACAATATAGCTAAATGGATTATGGTATACCTCATTCTTCAATGGAATGCTCGAAGTCTAATTGCAAATGGCCAAGAATTTAAAAAATACATAAATGATTTAATAATTAAACCTGATGTTATATGCATTCAAGAAACATGGTTAAAACCTCATCTTGATTTTATATTGAAAGGATATAATTCTGTAAGAATTTTCTGTAAAAAAATAGAGGAGGAGGTTGATTGACCTTTATTAAAGAAGAAATCTCATATAGGCCAATTAATATATCTGAACATGAATGTGTAGTGACAGAGAAATTTAGTCATGAAAATAAGGGCAAAATTAAGGTTATTCATTATTATAATCCATGTAAAGCATTATCATATAATTTATTAAACAGTATCTGTTCTAGGAGAAGACACAAAGAAATATGGTGTGGAGACTTCAATGCCTATAACAGTATATGGGGAAGTAAGTTTACTGACCTGAATGGAGAAGTAGTGGAAGAAATGATGAATGACAGAATGTTAGTATGTTTGAATTATGGTACAGGCACGCGTATTAATATATACAATAATATTACCTCCTGTATAGATTTGACATTAGTGGACAGGAAAATAGCTAGTAAATGCGAGTGGAAAGTGGAACAAAATATAAACATGGGTAGTGATCATTTTCCAATTTTTTGTAAGATTTAAACGGAAGTATCAAAGCAGCAGAACTATATATATCATAAGTGGTGCTTTCAGAAAGCCAATTGGGAAGAATTCCAAAACTGCTGTAATGAAATGAATAGTCTACATATTATGGATTAACCAATAGACAAAATAAATTACTCCTTGAGCACTCTTATTCTAAGTGCAGCCAGGCAGAGTATTCCAGTTTTATAGCCAAAAGAAAAGAACAAATGTACCATGGTGGAATAAAGAATGTTCTGATGCCATTAGGGATCGTAACAAAGTATTTAAGAAATTACGTAAAATACTAACTTTAGACAGTCTTATAGAATATCAAAGGAAGAAAGCTATGGCAAGAAAGGTAGTAAAGGAAACTAAAAAAGAAGCCTGGAGACAACTTTGTTCAACAATTGGAAGAGAAACAAATCTAGACAAAATGTGGAAGATGGTTAAGAAAATGACAGGTAAATACAAACCAGCACAAATACTTTAGTTGATAAACAGAATCAAGCTGTTAATGATATCTGTAAAGCTAATATGTTGGGTAAAGAATTTGCTAATATTCATAATGGCAATCATCTAGATGAAATATATAAAAAAGGAAAGAAGAAATTTTGAATGAAAATAATAACATACTAAATGTCAAAGAAGATACAAATTCTATACTAGATGCTGAATTTACCATGTCAGAACTTAAAATAGCAATCAAAAATACAGCATATACTTCACCAGGTACTGATAACTTATGTTATGCAATGTTTAGAAAATTGCCTGATGGAATTCTATAAATTTTTTTTTTTAGAACTTTTTAACAAGATATGGTATGAAGGAAAATTACCAAAGATATGGAAAAAAGCAATAATTCTCCCATTTGTTAAACCAGGAAAAGACTCAAACAATCCAGGAAATTATAGGCCTATAACATCGCATCTAGGAAAGTTAATGGAAAAATTAGTTGTGGCTCGATTAAACTATTTCTTAGAAAAGAAAAGATTACTTGGAGAATACCAAACTGGTTTTAGGAAAGGTAAATCTACTACTGATGCATTGGTTAAATTAAGCAATGAGATTGAGAAAACTCTAGTTATGAAAGAGATAATGCTGTGTTTTTGGATATAGAAAAAGCATATGATACCATGTGGAGGGAAGTATTATTAATTAAACTGGATAAAATGGGGATTGATGAAATAATGCAAATATGGCAAAAATAATGGATTGGCATCAAAGGTAATGAAAATGCCGATAAGATAGCAAAAGAAGCATTGGAAAAAGAGCAAGTAAAAATTAATATTTAAATGGGAAAAGGAGAGATTAAAGCCAATATGAAATAATGCAAATATGGCAAAAAGAATGGGAGTCTGAGTCTAAAGCTAAACATTATCATATAAACCAAGCAAAAGTAGGAGGAAAAAGGATAAATATGGCAAACGGGCGAGAAGAAGTAGTATACTCAAGGCTGAGATTAGGTCATACTGGACTGAATGATACATTGCAGATAATAGGGAAGAGTAATGGATTATGTACAAGATGTCAAACCAAGGAAGAGAACATGTCTTGTTTAGATGCAATAAATGCCATGAATACAGGCAGAAATGGCAGGAAATGGAAGAAGAAAATAAAACGTGATACTGAACTGCTCATTAAACTCACTGAACAATTCAAATGACAATGTTATTGAAATAATTGGAAATTTGTAATAAAGTTGGATGTGATACTCAACACCTATCATTTGTTATAAAGCTGTGACTTTTAAAGTAAATCATATAATTGCACACACACAGTAATTTATTTACTTAAGATGTCAAACCAAGGAAATTGTTTAGATGCAATAAATACCATGAATACAGGCAGAAATGGAAGAAGAAAATAAAATTGAAGATATTCTTAGAGAACAAGGGATGGAAAGAAATAGACTCAAAGCTTTGTTTATATTTCTTGAAAATACTGGATTAATAAGAAGAATTTAGAAACGAAAAGGTAACCCCTTGGTTTTTTTTTTCCCCCCTAAGTAAAGTATCTGCCAAGTCCCTCTACGCACTCCTGTACAGTAGGTGGTGATAGGCAATAATTACAAGTTGCAAAAGCCAAGAAAAAAGAAGAAGAAGAATTTTATTTTCATTCATACGTCTCCCCTTCTCTCCTGCTATTAGTGATGGGAAGCCTTTGAGTCTCGTTCAGCAAAATGAACGAATCTTTTTTCGAGTCATTTCGTTCATTTTAGCAAAATATCATTAAAATGTTACGTGTTACTTCCCTAACACGTCTACTACTTACGCAAACGTTGATTACACTACAAACAATACAAAACTATAATGTTATAAGAAACAGAAAATATTATTAATTGTTTACCTGGGTCTTCAGTCTATGATTAGCTCACCTCACCTTATCTGACAAGTCTTCGGGTTTGAGTCGTTCGTTCATCACGTGACAGCCCCATAAACGTAACCAATGCAGTCTGAGCCGGAAAGAGAATTGATTAGTTAATGTGTTTTTTTGATACAAGCTTCGAAGCTTCGTTGTTGAATGTAACATCACTAGTAGTTTGGTCTATTTTATGTTGACATGTTACTTTTGTTCTGTGCATATTGTGATTTCGACAAGCAGTAATTTACAATATATAAAAATGTATGATAATAATAATAATCTTTTAGAAGCAACTTTTCACATTCTTTACTTTTAATTTTGGCACGAGCGAACATTGTGTTGAATTAATATTCAACAAGTGAATATTAATATCGATAATATATTATTATAAACACTATAAAAATACAGTATGTGGAAGATAGCTTTTTGATTACTGTAGGCAGCATGCATGACTATAGCGGGAGTCTTCAGCAGACTCGGGATCGATGTCTTGAAAGATGCATAAGAATTAAACCTATATGCGTTTTTTTCCTTTTTTTTTGAGTGAAATTTCAGCTGTATTTAATAGTAAATTGTTTGTCAGCTTACTTATAAAGTTTATATAAAGGCACGACGCTAAAACGTGCTTTTTTGTATATACGTGTACGTGGGATTAAGTTTCGGACTTTCCTTCGCACTCTCAGGACCTTCCAACAAATTCAAAATGGCGGATTTTCGGAAAAATGGTTCGGAGCTAAACAGGATATATCTTATATGAATACAAAGAAACAAATACAGTGGATAAATAAACAGTTAGCTCTATAAACACAAAGTGAGCAGCCATAAATAAGGGATTTGCTCATTTTTATTTGTTTTTATCGTTTTAACTTCGCAGCATTCTCTTTTTAAAGGTAAGAACGACATGCAGTTCAGTTCAGCTTTTTGTGCCATTTTATTGCAGGAAAAACATCAATAATCAACCCCTGTCGTATATAAATAATTGGCTTAATACGTTTTAAGACACTTGACTATGTGCATATACGATTTTTTGACAGCGTATTATATCATTATTTGAGTACTTGATACCGAACTAAGTGTACTTATGTTTAAAAACCCATCGACTCGCTTGAAAACCCATCGACTCGAAAAAACATTTTAGATCATTAGGGCATGTTTTCTGGAGCTAAATTAAATCTGAAAGACCTTTACAAGAGTTGAATAGTGGAGGAAGTGTTGCTGATGCATTACAGAGGAGGAGTGTTCTGAATTTCTCTAGCAATCTTAAACTAATTTATGGGAATTTTAGATATTGAAATTCTATCATAATACAGACCAACTACACATTTTAGACATAGCTCTCAATAGGACTCTTATGATTACCAATAGGATACAATGCTCCTGTTGGGCATCAAAGCAATTTAGATAGAAAATCTTATTTGAAAGTTTTCTTTTTTCTTAATTTTAGTATTTTATTTTATTTTTTTACTTTTTGTAAATAATATGTATATCTATTTTTTTTTATCATTAAACTGGATTGTTTGTAATAGTCATCAGTTACCTTCAACTGTGGATATTTGTTTTGGCATCAGCCATATAACTTGAAACTTGTTTTGATTTTAATTTCTGCTAATATATAACCTTTGTGAACAAATGTTCAAATCATACATAATATGTAATACAGAATGAAAGTATGTAGATTTTTGTCAATATGTGAATTCACATTGTAATGGAGTACTCAGTATTATTTTTTGCCTGCCAGGTTGAACCAGCACTTCAGATTTGTACTGGCCCCACTGAAAAAAAAAAAAAGATTTTTGTTTTGAAATGAAAAAGAAATATTTTTTAATAAGTATTTGGACTAGGGCTTTTAAGTTGCGAGAAAAGAATGTAATAGAATAGAAAATATGCCGCTATAACGTTATTACAACTATACATTGATAAACATACATTTGGAAAGGATAGCATTAATGCAAAATATTACTGATTTGTTTGAGTTTTTTAACCTATTGATGCTTCTAAGATTATGAGAAGTCATTTTTGAAATTGAATCAAAACCTGAATCAAAGTCAGTAGATTATTCTTAATTCTTAATGCTCTCTAATTATCTTGTTGGATATATCTGACTGAAATGTAGCTGTTTTTCTTCTGCAGAGTGAGACATGGCAGAGGAGCGCAGACAGAAGCTGTGTTCGGTGATCTTGCCCACTGAATCCATGAAGGCGATGGCGGAGTCAGTGGGTGTGGGTTCACTACAGGAAGAGAGTTGTCTGGCCCTCAGTGAAGAGGTTAGCTACAGGATCAAGGAGATTGCGCAGGTATTTACAATTGCAATTAACAATTTATTTATATTTGTCTTTTTATGAAAGTTGTAGTTTATAGAGACAACATGAATAATATTAAATTTTTTTTTGAATATATTACATATTTTCCTTTTTGATCCAGTTAATTTATCAGAATAATGTAATATAATACAGTATACTATACAGTGTTTTCCGTTGATTTCCTAGATTGTGGTGGGACAGATTAGACCAACTCAGTCTAGGAAATCAAAGGGAAACACTATGAACCAAAAATATTTGTACACTTCTCAAAATAACTTAAAAGAGTTCTAATATTGTGGTCAACAGCTGTCAGTTGAACTACATTTGAAATTGCGATTATGGCTTAGAGCATTTATCAAATCACGACTGATTACATCAGTCTGCATTCTTTTCCATTTGATAGATTGCACAGAAATACTGAAGGTGTTGTTTATCTGTTGATGTGATATCTCCCACAGGACGCACTGAAGTTTATGCACCACGGTAAAAGACGCAAACTTACTACTGGTGACATTGACCACGCTCTTAAACTAAAAAACGTGGAGGTGAGAAAACTGGAACAAAGTGAGAACTATTGGTTTCCTCTCTCTATCTGAACCACAACATTCAGAACCCTTCACAAATTCTTTTTCCTTTGCATATTAAGTTTTTCTTTAATTGTATTTGTCTCCTTTAGCCTCTGTATGGATTCCAGTCTCAAGAGTTCATCCCGTTTCGCTTTGCAAGTGGAGGCGGCAGAGAATTGCACTTCTATGAAGAAAAGGAAGTGGATCTTAGTGATATCATCAACACGCCCCTCCCTAGAGTCCCTCTTGATGTTTCGCTCAAAGGTAATTAACATTAACCTTTATTATTTGCTATTTAGATGCAAGCTCTGTACCAAAATCTAGTGAGCTGCTTACCTAGACAACATATTAGGGCATTATAGATGCTGATCTCAACTAAACAGTCATTCCAAATGGAACACAGCATAATTGTTCTTTCTTTTTAGGATACACTGTTTTTGCTAAATACAGAGGATAAATACTTCAATGTGTTTTTGCCAAAATTAATTGGAATTGAGCTCGGTTTCAAATTTGACGAGCAGAAAAGTCAATAATCAACCCTCTATGGACACCTTGGCAATTGAATCGCCATTGGCTAGTAAATTTTTTCTCCAGTCTGATATACTATATATGGATATGTATATTATATATATTTTATATTTATTTTACAATTCAACTTACTCACGGTTCGGTTTGTATCACGGTTTTATAGTCACGTTTCGGTATGTGCTATGTTTAGGCAAAAACTATGCTATCAAATAAAAATAAAGAAAATAAGAATAATCTATCTAATTACAAGCAACAGCACAAATAAATAAAATAGAGTAAAGATACAAATAAAAGAAACAGTGATTTTCAGTTTTTTTTAGGTAGGTCTAACATTAGTTTTTAGGCACAGAAATTGAATAAAGTAATCAAATGTAAAATAGCATTGCATATTTTACTGTATACATTAATCTTTATTAAAGTTACAGTGAGTGATTTCCTTGTTGTTGCTGTATGATTAATATTAAGAAAGCGCTGTCACTTTAAGAGAATGCACAAATACAGTACGCTCCGCTGGCTATGTCTGCTATAGGATACTTACCAAGACGGGCATTTTGACAATTTTTGTGTGAATTTGTCCATTTAAACGCAATACTTCAGAGAAAGCTTAATATTTGTGTGTGTTCTGAGGCGGGTTTGCGCGCTTCGGATGAGCGCACACACGCACAAATCTTCTCACTGCGTGCGCAAGCTCACGTCCTCTGGCTCTTAAATGTTTAAACTGGCAAAGCTTAAACGAATTTAGCTTAAACACAGATATCAACGTGTGCTGTTTAGGTCTCACCTATGCGTGTGCGCGCGCTTTCAGCACCCGGGTGATGACGGAATAACTCACTGCTCATATTCCAGCATACGGCATTCGCATTGAACAAGAGTGAACCGCTGTATGGTCTTGGTCACCGTGCTGCAGCTCAGTTTCTTGGCAATCTTCTTATAGCCTACGCCATCTTTATGTAGAGCAACAATTATTTTTTTCAGATCCTCAGAGAGTTCTTTGCCGCGAGGTGCCATGTTGAACGTCCAGTGACCAGTATGAGAGAGTGAGAGCGATGACACCAAATTTAACACACCTGCTCCCCATTCACACCTGAGACCTTGTAACACTAATGAGTCACATGACACCGGGGAGAGAAAATGGCTAATTGGGCCCAATTTGGACATTTTCACTTAGGGGTGTACTCACTTTTGTGGCCAGCGGTTTAGACATTAATGGCTGTGTGTTGAGTTATTTTGAGGGGACAGCAAATTTACACTGTTATACAAGCTGTACACTCACTACTTTACATTGTAGCAAAGTGTCATTTCTTCAGTGTTGTCACATGAAAAGATATAATAAAATATTTACAAAAATGTGAGGGGTGTACTCACTTCTGTGAGATACTGTGTATATATATATATATATATATATATATATATGTATGTATATGTTTGTAAAATGGCACAGCTTTTTAAATATCTGACTCTTAACATCGGTCAGTCAAGCGTTATAATATGATATTATGATAATCAAGTATCATTTAATGATAGAACTTTAGTAATTTGAATTAAAATTTGGTAACCATATATGTATGCATATTAGTCATTTTAACTAAACTTAGGACTGGTGGTGGTGCTTTTTTGGTCATTCTGTGTGTCTGTAAAAAAAATGGGGGGAAAAGACTTAGAATAATACTGGTAAGATAATAATACTATGAATTCTAATTATAAGAACAATATAAAACGCAGTAAGGATTAACGGGCAGCTGGATTCATGAATATTAATCAGGTTGTGTGCATTCACTAGAATTGATTTGCTGAATTCAAATCAGGGATGATAATAGGTGAGTGCCAGCCAATGAGATTGTCGTTTGCGCATTAGTTCCGCCTGCTACCATAGAACCCCGCAGTTCTTAAAAGCTGAAGAATTCCAAAGGAACGCTGTTATTTTGACAAGAAAATACAACAAAGAATATCGATTACATATAGCGTGTCAAGTCTGCATGGTATGTAAGACTCTCTCGCTCTGTCTCTCTCTTTGTGTGTGAAAAAAAAGCAAAGTGGCGGCGAGTCATGCGCTTCACACTAGAGTTTACAGTACGTCAAATACAGGTGCACTGTGCATCCATTGAGATGAACTGAAAAATAGCACAGATCGCTTGATGGAGAGAGAAACTCTGAAGCACTCAGTCAGTGTGTTCGGCGAGTGAAAATATATCTGTGCTAAACTTATACTTAGCCTCCAACTCGCACACTGGCGAGCAAAATCTGAGAATTTATTAGCCAGTGGCTAATATTAGTATAATTTAGTCGCCCAGAGTGAAGATTTAGTCGCATATGTGAGTGATTTACTCGCATTGTAGTGGGTTAATGTTTCAGTATACACTAAAAGTGTATTTACTAAATTTACTAAAACAATAGTTAAATCTAATTAAAATGGACTGTTAACCCTTTATTTGTTTGTGCTGTTTGTTTATTACAACTGTTTATAATGAGTGTGACATTGTTAACAACATGATAACATCAGACTGAATCAATTCTGAGTCGAGTCTCCGATGAGCTTTGTGTGAGGAGTGCTATTTGCATGCCGTATTTGTTGTCTGTGAACAACATAGCATTTACCTCATGAACAGGGAGGAAAATAGCCTGTCGTCTCTTTGTCTTTCAGCTCACTGGCTAAGTATTGATGGTGTCCAGCCTGCAATACCAGAAAACCCACCTCCAGGTAAGAGAGTTTTCTGGATATTTTGTTAATTTGCATTACTTTGTAATAGAGTCAGGGAATATGTTTGTACAATTTACTGTGATAATGTATGATTTAAATTATTAAAGATAATTCAAATAATACTATTTTTTACCGTTTATATATTAGGGTTGGCTCAATTTAGGCTTCGGTATGATACCAGAATCTAATACCTCGGTATCCATACTAAATTGATACCATGGGTGACAAATAAGCAGCCTCAAAAGATAACTGAATTTAAAACAGTTTCATTAAAATGCTGCATGAAACTGTAGTAACAAGTATGTTGCTTGTTTTTAAGCATAAATATATATAAATATAACATACAGCACTTTTTAGTGCTCTATACTCAGTAAAAATTAAATGATACAATTATTAGAACATTCTGTGCATCACGTAATCAACTGATAAATTCAAATCTGCTTTTGCGTTTTTGACTGGCACTGAGCCAGAGACAGATGCACTCAGCACTTGGCATATATCACTACTTTTTTGTGTTTTCAAACACATAATGTTCATTTTAGGTTTCAGACATGTAAATACACATACGTACTAGCAAAAATTACATTTATAGTTTGACGACATGTTTTATTCACATCAAAATTTACACGTTGTGTAGGTAACTATAAAGTTTCTCCCAGTTTACCTGCCATTTTTATTTATTTTTTTATTTTTTTTGCGTGGAGTGGATGAATTTACAGTGGAGAGCAAAATTAGAGAACAATCTATAAATACTTGATATTGTTCTATTGTTTTGCGATTTTTTTCTGAAATATTGTTAATCTTAATCACTAAAAATTTGAAGGAATATTAGCTGTGGGTATACCACTGTTCTACTAACATGTTTTACAAAATAACCAGAGAATTTCAACAAAAAAACTTTATTTTGTAGCACGAAAGAAGATTACAACTAAAATTTTGGAGGGTTACAGCTGTCAAAAATTAGTGTCCACTTCCTAAGTGTACTCTACACAGGAAGTGTAGAGGCCCTTGCTTTGAATGACTTCAGCACATCTGCGGCCACAGGACATTTTTCGCACACTGCTGTGGTGTGATCTTGGTCCACTCTTCTTCCGGTCTCTTCTATAGTTCGGTAACTGTAGTGGGTTTCTTATCCATAACTTTGTTGCCAAGGATTTTCCAGAGATTTTAAATCAGGTTTAGATCAGGACTCTGGGCTGGGCATTTCATTATTTCAATGTTCTTAGCTTCAAGGAACTGCTTTACTTCTTTTGCAGTGTGTCAGGGAGTATTGTCTTGCATGAAAATTGCAGGCTTATTGGGAGATGCTTGCAGGGAAGGTAGCTGTTGCTGAAGGAGGTTCTAAACATTTGCATTCACCCTGCCATGTATCCGTATAAGACGCCCAACTCCTGCTGCAGGAAACATCCCCCAAACCATGACTTCCTCCTCCACCTTTCACTGACTTTTATACACTTGGGGTTCAGTCTTTCCCCAGTTTGACGTCGAACAAAATTTTTCCCATCAGACCCAAGTAAATTAATCTTGCTTTCATCTCTAAAGTGAACTTTGGACCAGTTCTCCTCTGTCCATACAACATGCTCCTCAGCAAAAGTGAGTCTAGCCTTTTGATTCTTTCTGTTGATGAGAGGCTTGGTCACTGCAAAGTGTGCTTTCTGTCTGACTTCTAATAAACGTGCCAAGACAGATCCTTACCCTGTTCAGCACTGAACTGGCAAGCAATTCCAGCTGCAGTATTGAATCGATTCCCCATTGAAAGTCTCCGCATTATCCTGTCTTCTCGTGCATTTGTCTTACTTGGACCACCAGCCTTTTTGGGGGACTTGAATGAATTAAGTGTCATTGCTGCAATATTCAAGAAATCACAGATTTGGAACCACCATCTTCTCTTGCAGTGGCTGAAAGTGTCATCCCTTTGGCCTTCATCTGGAAAACATGCTGTTGAAGGGTTTCAGTCACCTTAGAGCGGCCCGCCATCTTGCAATCTCAGTGAAAATTAGAGGAATGCTGGCAGCTAAATAGGATTTGTCATGTAATTAACAAAATTAGCACCATGTACCCGTTTTTTACACACATAACTTGGAGGTATGTGTAAGTGTTCTCTAAGTTTGATCAGAGTTCTTTTTCAAATATCTCATTTAAGTTTTTATACTGTGCTTAAGAGTACAATTAATTTATGAAATATGCTTTAAAAAACTGCCCTTCGAAGGCTCCAGACTACGACCATTTTTCTGCCTGTGCGTCTAAATTTTGTGAGCGCTCGCACTGGCGCAACCACCGTGTTGCCAAACTCATAAGTGCTGCCATTTCTGTTGCATAAGAGAAACATCTAATGAAACAAAAGTATAACGAAGCCCGTGCTATTCGTTTAAGCCGTACAGCACGGTCCGCTAAACTTCACAGACAGAGCGCAATGAAATAGGAGCGCAATAACTCTTACTAAAATGTACATTTCACTGAAATATTTGTAGTTGGACAATAAATATGACATGTAGAATTTTAAACCTACAAGTAAGTGTATTTTTATGATAGCACTGACTGTAAAGTGACTGTAATGGGGTAATCAAAATAGCCTAACACAACTCAGTGCTTTTGTTCTCATTTATTTTAATTTTTAAGTTTAGTGAATTTAACTTCCACTTTAAAAACCTTATTTTAGTTTTTAGATTGCAATGTTACAATGTTAGAACGAAATGTGATTTTAACCCTTTTTTGCACATAATCTAAATGTTGGTTACATGGTTACATTCACTTTATTTGTTTTCATAGCCTTTAATATGTATTGTTTTGTTGGACAACATTGGGCGGTAAGTGAAATATATATATGTATATTTAATACAGATTTATTTTTAATCCAAATACAAAAACAAAAATACCGAGATATATACCGTATATCGCAAATCGGCCAAAAAATACAGAGATATGAATTTTTGCCCATATCGCCCAGCCCTAATATATATATGTATATATATATGTAGGATCTTAGGTTTTAAAGAAAGAAAGACTTGTGTCTTTGCGAGACTTGTTCATTAGCCGCAGCGCAGCACTCCACGTCTGATGTCTGACCCACTTAAGTGCAGTAAACGGTAAAACAATTGTACAAATTAGTGTGTTTATTAGTACATTAATAAATGTAAAATAATTTGAATACAAATACTAATTTACAACATCCAGCAGCACAGTGAACTGTTTTGCACAGCTAAATAGGCTAAATGGAGATTGCTGACATTGCCTCACACACTCAAGTTCATGCCAGCTCTTACATTAAAAATAAGCTGGAAAGATAAAAAATTAATAGTTTCCATGGATCTAGTCTTTGCATCTGTTTGTTTGATGTTTGAATTCGGTCTCCTCTGTTGGAATAATATTGGCTAGATGGCACTGCCACAAAAAAAATAGGGTCCTAAGTAGAAATGCGGTCCTAGAACTGCAGCCTCCAGTATTGCAGGAACACAGTATTGGGGTTGTTTTTGTTCAGACCAATGTGAAAATCGACCCATGTTTTTACCCTGCAAACACACAGAGCTGTAAATGTGAACTGGTGGATCGATAAGAAGAATAATCATGCTTTTTACAGCCATTTTACAGTTTAATATGTTACTATAGACATTGCCCTACCCCGTTCATATGGTATTACTTTTATTTGTGCAGCTCTTAAAAAAAGTTCTTAAAAAGTCTTAAATTTGAGCTTAAAAATCCTGCAGAAACCATGTTTAATAAGAAACAAAGAAAGTTTAATTCTTACAGTGAAGACTATGCTGTTTTATTTTACATTAGATTATTCAATTTCTGTAGTAGGCTTTTAGCTGAATACTTTAGACTTGCATAAAAAATTTAAAGCACTTTTTTTTTGTGTGTTTTTTCTATTGTATTTGTCCTCTGCTTTTTTGTTTTTATTGTGTTACTGACAGATTAATTATTTTCAATAATTTTTTGTATAATGCCGCCCAAATGTGTACGCAAAGAAAGAAGGTGTGATTTCAGGTATCGCTGTAGTGTTGTTGCTGCCATGTTGTGGAGATGTTCTGGAGATGTTTAAATGTTCTCTGAGAATTGTTTAATTATTTTGTTCCTTTTCAATAGGGAAAAAACATAAACAAAAATAAATTAATCAGTTGCATTACAGAAAAAAATTGTATGTTTGAATGTAAACTATTCTCTTGGCAGCAGCATTAAGAGCTTCATTTCTAAGACAAGGGTTCAGTTTAATGAAAAACAGCAAGCAACAGTGTCATTTCTGCACTGGCTTTTTTGGAATGTCAAATAGGTGCTGAATTAAAGTGAAGAAAGGTCGGCATATCAACATGTTCACATGACCAGCTTGCTGAGATTAAAATATTAATCTGCAAACAATTATTACAAGTATAAAATTACAATAATTTTTTACACTACAAGTGAGATGCCATTAGTGCTGGGCGGTATACCGGTTCATACCGGTGTTTATTTTTGTTATGATATGAATTTTTTAAATACCGCAATACCGGTATGTCGCTTAAACAATGTTCGGAACGCGACACTGTTTGAAAGGGGTCCCTTTTCACTGTTGCACTGTGGTGAGGGAACAGCTGTATGTGTTACTAAGCGTGAAAGTTCCGAAACTGAAGCTGTAGAACTAATAGAACGTGATGACAGAAGAACTCATCCACAATATCCACATTGACCGCCACAAATATCCCCCGCCCCCTGCCATCAGCTCCCGCGTCTCACTAGCACCTGTCGCTTACTGATTGTTTGGAATTATAAATATGAGCGTAGTTCGTCTGTTAATATCACATGCACTTTTTAGTTTTTTTTTTTTTTTAGTTTGTTACTCAGATGCAGGCAGTGCGCTGCATGAGACAAAAAAGTAATATAGCCAAAACAACATGTACCGTATTTTTTGACTATTTACTCATCATGACAGTAAAATAGGGCATTCTAAGTCAATATACTGCAGTATTTCCTCTCTCAATCAGTAGAAAATATGGTTAACACCGTGAAACCGGTATAATTTTGAAAAATACCGTGA